ATTTTTACTTAAAAATTTTTTTTAGAGGTTTTTGCTATAGGGCGCATGCGCTCGCCAGAGAGAGACAGAGAGACAGAAAGCAAGAAATCACCCCCCAGGGGGGATGGCCACGCTGCAATCCCCTTCTCCTCCATTCTCCTCTTGGGATCTTGGGCACGCACACACGCACCCGGCATGAATTTTAAGCCACCAGGTTTGGGACGCGAACCGCAGTTGACTATGTGGGAGTCCAGCGACATAGCCATTACACTAACTGCTGGTTCCACATATTCTATTCTTAAGCTCCCCTAGTCTTGGGCAGGATCAGTTCCCCAACTTGCTGTGTAGTTTAACTACATGGCTTAGACATTTAAACATCTATCTTACAATCTGCTTGCCTTGTTTACATCTCAAGAGAATTAACTACAACTAATCCTACCAAAGTACTTTAAGCTTTAAAGTGAAAGGACAAAATACCAAAGCAGTAGTGTTTTCATCTTCAGCCATATGAGTATTACTGCTGTTACTGTATTTGTTTACTAATAATCAAATAACTAATGCTAACTTCCTAATAACCAGGGCAATGGACTATTAGGAATGGAAGAATAAATGATATATATCACCACATGATGGAGTAAGAGTTCTCCAAAACACACACACACACACACACACACACACACACACACACACACACTCTCTCTCTCTCTCTCTCTCCTGTCAAAAATCTGCAGATCTAACTTATTCCATTCTGCCATCTAGTGGTGATATAATTAGATATTACACTATGGGATCAGTATCTTATACAATAAAATAAAAACCATATGCAGCTTCTCAAGTACTAGGAAATTAGCTGAAGAAAGACTGAGCACCCAAAGGAAAGTGGTGATATAGTATTTAAGATAATGGCAAGTGGAGTATTACATTGCCAAAAGTAGTTTTAAAAAATCAATTTTAAAATTAAAACAGTATGTATTTTTTTCTTGAGAGAGATTTTTGCTATAGGGTAAGTGTGCACACAGAAGAGACAGAGAGAGAGACAGACAGAAAGTGAGAGATCACTTCCCAGGTGGGATGGCCACACCGCAATCCTTTCTCCTCCATTCTCCTCTTGGGATCTTGGCATGCACGTACACGAGCCCAGCATGAGATTTAAGTCAAGGTCCAAGACTTGAAGTGGTCAACTACATGGGAGTCCAGAGATGTAACCATCATGCCATCTGCTAGTCCCAGAAACAATATGTATTTTAAAACATAGCTCTCTTCCTGATTCCTTTTAGTAATAAAAATCAACTATTCCTCTAAAATAGAGTTTGTATTTAAACTTTTTTTTTAGTTTTTACTCAAGGGCGTGTGAACTTGTTCAAGAGAGATAGCAAGAGAGGCAGAGAGAGAAAAAGTGAGGACAGTGGAGGATGGCCATGCTACAACCCCTTTTCTTTATTATCCTCTTGGGATTTTGAGGACACATATAACACACGCACTCAATGTATTTTTCAAGCTGTGGGGTCAGGACTCAAATCACAAAGTCAGCCATATGGGATCCAGCCACCTTAACCAACATGGTGCTGACTGGCCCAGACTTAAATGCTTTTGACATTGTTTTCATTAGTAAAATAGAACATTGAACAAAATTAAAAAGAAGGAAGCATCTCAGATCTCAAAGGCCTTACATGAATTTTGAGTAGGGCAATTTAGGTTTATAGCTAATGATGTTTTTCTTTTAAGTTTTTACTTAAATGTTTTCATTTGCATGAGTTTACATTTAGAATTTCTATAAGTCGTATAATTTTAAAAATAATTATTTAATTTTATTTAATATTATTATTATTTTTTAATTAGATCAGAGAGGTACAGAGAGACAGAGGGGGAAAGTGAGAAAGCAAGCTGCTAGGTTCAGAACTTATACTGTGGTTGGCCATGTGTGAATCCAGTACCCTAACCACCATGCCGAATGCTGGCCCCAAGTGGCATAACTTTTTCAAGTTTTGTCAAAAATTCATATAACTGAGGGTACCAGCAGTTAGCGTAATGGCTATGTCGCTGGACTCCCACGGAGTCGATTGTGGTTCGCGTCCCGAACCTGGTAGCTTAAAACTCACACCGGGCGTGTGTGCGTGCGTGCCCAAGATCCCGAGAGGAGAATGGAGGAAAAGGGATTGTGGTGTGACCATCCCCCCTGGACGGGGTGATTTCTTGCTTTCTGTCTCTAAGTCTCTCTCTGTCTGTCTGGCAAGCACACGTGCCCTATAGTAAAAATTTCTCCAAAAAAAAATTCATGTAACTGAGGCTGGCAGGTGGCATGATCATTAGTGCGCTGGTCTCCCAAATGGCTGACCATGGTTCAAGTCCTGGACCTGGAGGCTTGCTGACTAACCTTTCCTTTTTTTTTTTTTTTTTTTCTCTCTCTGGTCAAATTAAAACTAACAATAAATAAAATTAAATAAATAATTCTTCTTTTTTTTTAATGTACATAACTGGGCCAGCAGGTGGCATCGAGTTTAAGGTACTGTATCCTACATGGCCAGCTTCATGATTCAAGTCCTGAACCTGGCAGCCTGAGAATCACGTCATACGTGTGTGTATGTGTGTGTGTGTGCACGCGCGCGTGCGTGCATGCCCAAAATCCAAAATCCTCAGAGGAGAGTGGAGGAGAAGGTTTTGTGATGTGGCCATCCTCCCTGGGAGGGTGATTTCTTACTTTCCTTTTTTCCTCTCTCCTTCTGTCTCTCTCTGTTGAGTACACACACACTATAGAAAACTAAATATATATATATATATATATGTAACATGTCATATAAACAAAATTAGAAAGAAAAGGGCAAAAATTTTTGATAAGTAAAAAAGTGCTACAAATTAATGGGAAAAAGATGATCACTCCAAAAGGAAGATAAAAGATATGATCAAGTAATCTACAAATAATAGTCAGTACACAATAAAAATTGTGACTCATTAGTAGCCTAAAATAATAACATTAGTAATGAGTCTAAAATATCTTTGTTTCTCTGACTAACAAACAGAAAGATTTAGAAAAATCAGTGTTGATAGGAAGAAGGGAAGCAGAAACTCGTGGTGAGGATAACCTACCTGTGCAACCTCCCTAGAAGGTCTTAAGTATTGTTTTCATTAAGAATTTCTTTTTTTAAAAAAAAATATATTTCATTTAACTTTATTATTATAATTATTTTCCAGTGATCAGAGAGAGAAAGACAGAGAGAGGGAAAGTGAGAAAGCAAGACACTACGTCCGGGACTTGAACCACAGTCAGCCATGTGAAAATCCAGCACCTTTAAACACCATGCCACCTGCTGGCCCCTTCATTTACAATTTCAACTTTCAGGAATTTATTCTAGGAAGTAACTGCAAGTTTATATACAAATTCTTATCTATAAGGATCTTATTAATCAAACTGCCATCATAGTAAAAATCTGGCCACAGTGAAGTTCAATAGAAAAATAGCTAAGTAAACTATGGGGTATTCATCCATACGCCTAAATACTAGGCAACTAGTAAAAATAGTGAGGTAGAAATATTAATGACATAAGAAAATGTTCAACTCTTTCACATGAAAAAAGTAGTTACAGCGTATATGTTACGTAGCATGATACAAATATTTGTTTACTTTGTTTTAAAAAATTACTTTATTTTCTTCTTTGTTTTTTTCTAAATTCCCAATATACATGTATTACTTTTATAATGAAAATATCATAAAATCACTAATTAATATACATGACACAACTTGTGATTACTCAGTTTTCATATAAAATAAACAATTTTCCAATCAATTTTACACTTGCATATTTATAAGTAGAAATAATTTTAGGTCAAATACAGAGTTCAAATGTATGCATTCAACACAAAAAATTATTGTAAAAAAATTTCAAGAGACCACTTAAAGCTAGTGAGCATGGTTTGGAAACTTCTCACCAAAAAGTCAGAACTACATACTTATGTAAGAAAACACTTAAGAATTTATTATTCTGAGGCCAGCAGGTGGCATGGTGATTAAGGTGCTAGACTTCCACATGGCCAATCGTGATTTGAGTCCTGGACCTGGCAGTTTGAAAATCAAATCACACCAGGTACGTGTGTGTGTGCGCCCAAAGTCTAGAGAGGAGAATAGAGGACAAAGGACTGCAGTGTGACCATTACCCCACAGGGTGATTTCTCACTTTTGTTTTTCTCTCTCTGGCAGGCACACGTACCTATGGCAAAAACCAGAGGGGGAAAAATAAAGAATTTATTATTCTAGCGTTTTGCTTTGCATCTTCTCTACAATATCTCTAAGTAATGTTTATTTTCTGATTATTCAAATTTGACTATGTCCTAAAATTAAAACATCAAAATGACCCACATGGTAAATACTGTAAGACTTCAGATTACCATTTATCATAAGAAATAACTTAATGAAAATCTAGTTACTGATGAATAGCCCATCTATCCAAAGAAGATTATATGAATTTCAATATCTTCATTTATAAGAATAAGACAGTCAGTCTACTTCAAAAGAAAATAATAAATTAATGTACTGAAACTAGCTGCTTCTGCCGATACAAGAAAATACTTATTATGTTGTACTCAATAAAAATGGAGGTTAAGTTTATAACTGTAATTTTGTCACAAAATATAATGGTCTTCTACTAGCAGAACTTGAATGTTACAGCTTTTCAACTAGATTTTAAATAAAAATAATTAAAAATCAATTCAAATAATTCAGAATAAGTGCTTTATTTTTTTAAAATCCCACAAAAGCTGAAACTACCATTTACATCAGTTCCAACAGCAATAAAAATTTATAATCAATTTGCTATAACTCTTGAAAACATTTATGCGCATAAAACAAAATTAAAAAAAAAAACAAAAAGGAAAATCGAAGTACTTCTTTTAAAATGAAGACAATCAGACTGTCTGTGACATACCTACTTACGGATGTACAAATAACAGAAGCATTCAAAACACATTTAACCAAGTTAGGACAATATTCCAACCAATCACAATGCAGTTTTCAATTACTTGTGCAAATCGATATAGAATCACAAAAGTAAATCCTTCCTAATAGGTAACCTGCTATGGCAATTCAGAAAACCCACACTAACACAAATGTGAAATCATGAGGAATGACTAGGGGGACAAGGGGGAGCAAAACCCAGGATCAAAGGTGCTTAGATATCAGGATAACTACAATCTTGCTATATATTTATGCTTTGTTTAAAAAAAAGAAAAAAGAAAAAAAAGGTCTTTAAGCTATCCATCTAAAAGAAAAAGGTAAATATATCATTTAATATTATTTTTTTGAATTAAAAAAATATATACGTAATCTTCCTTTGTTTTTGATAAGTTCAAATATGAATTGACAATGGGGTAATTGGATTCTGTAAGAAAGCTCTATAGAACAGATGAATACAACATACTATATCTTCTTTAAGAAGTATGAGCTGAAATGTTAGGCATTCCTCGTGTTGTTTTTTTAATATATAATTTAAGGAATGCTGTTCTTGTAAACAATGGCTTTGCAAAAAGAAATACTGAGACCAAAATACATTACTCGAGTTTCTCTATAAAAGGTCACTAACTATCCTTGTTTGTGCAATCGGAGAAAACATTTTAAGAATTTATCGTGCTAGAAAAATTGCTATCAGTTTTCTTCCTTTTTCTTTTTTCCGATTATCACAATTAAACATCAGAAGATTTTTCCCGAATAAATACTGATGTAAATGTTGATTTCAAGGACACATGGCTTCCGTAAGAGTCTATTTCTCAGGCATTTCACCGTTTGTTGAGACTGAGGCAGAACTGTTCTGGGGTGAGCTGTCACTGGGCTCCTGGGAAGTGTGCCTTCTGGGCCAGCTTATTGGGACCTGGGGCTGACTGGAAGATGGAGGGCTAGCAGCACTTGGTAGCTTCGTAGAGGAATTAGGCGGAAGTCTATGATGATTATTCTCTTCACCAGAAGTAGATGAATGTCTTTTTCTTCCAAATTCTTCACTAATAGGGGGCTGCAAACCGTAAAGAAAACAGAGTTGATGATTTTACCATTTCTCCTCCCTTCGAAATCTGAGGCCAGACTTTTCCAACAGAGAAGTTATGTTGGCACTTCAGTAGATTTTATTAGTATATGAAAATTTAACAGCAACTTAATGCATTAAACTTAAAATTCATCCCTAACTAAATCAGTCTATTAGTTTTTGTTTATTTTGTCATGCAAAATGTTTACTGGGGCCAGTAGCTAGTATGGTGGTTAAGGTGCTGGACTCCCACATGGCCAACTGCAGTTTATGTCCCAGACTCAACCGTTTGAAAATCAAGCCAGGCATGTGTGTGCGTATGCTCCAAATCCTGAGAGGAGAATGGTGGAGGAGGGACTGTGGCATGGCCATCTGCCTAGGAGGTGATTTCTCACATTCTCTCTTTCTGTCTCTTTCCAGTGGGAGCACGTGCCTTTTGACAAAAACCTAAAAAACAAAAAAATGTGTATTAAACCTCTCTCACAGTTTAGGGTCTGAGTAACATAACAGTGCAGAAGCATAAAGTTCGGTTCTTTGTCTCTGAGAGAATGACTCAGCAAGGCCATTTTCCTTTTTTTAAATAGTTTTTTTTTGGGGGGGAGGGGCCATAGGGAGCATGCGTTCACTGGATAGAAGGAGAGAGAAAAGTAAGAAATCACTCCCCAGGGAAGATGGCCATGCAGCAATCCCTTCATTTCTATTCTCCTCTTGGGATTTTGAGCTCACATGAGCATATACCCAGTGTGATTTTCAAGCTGCCAGGTCCAGGTCTTGAACTGCATTCGGCCATGTGAAAGCCCAGTGCCTTAACCTCCTACCACACTGCCTGCTAGTCCCCCATTACCTTTTATTCAACTTGTGTCAACTCGAAGGCATTTATAACTCAAGTTCCTTGCTCAACCCCATACTTCTATCCTAGGCTTGCTTAAGTGGAAATGCTTAAATAAAAGATGAATGAAAGCAGCAGGGGAACAAATGCCCAACCAGATAACCTTTAGCAAGTCTGAAGGTTGATCTAGGATTCCTACAATAAGGAGACAGAGTATTACTGGTGGTATTAAATTTGAACATCTTCAAATATAAGTACCCATAAAATTCCTAAACCCCTCAGAATGTGAGAATAGGGGTGGACGATGGCTTAGAAAAGACTACAGACACGTGTGTGTGCGTGTCCAAAATCCTGAGAGGAAAATGGAGCAGAAGGGATTACAGGGTGGCCATCTCCACTGGGTGGGTGGGGGGGTGGATTTCTCACTTTCTGTTTCTCTCACTTTCTCTCCAGTGAGCGCACGTGCCCTATAGAAATATTTTTCTTTTAAAAAAAAAAAAAAAAAAATAGACACATACATATATAAAATTGATAGTTTTGTACAGGTTTGGTAACAGGTGATAGTTTATATATATTTAAACCTCAATTGTATGTTGAGCAAATTTTATATCTTTTTAAAAGCTTATTTTTTAGCTCGTGCTTTGAAATTTTCCTTTTTTTTTTAACCTTTGTGTTTGTTCATTCAGTAAATACTCTTGTTTGTTTTAGGCTGTTAGTTTCAATAGATGATATTTATTTCCATGGTATATCTAGCTGTAAGTTTTTTGATGAATTTTTAAGTGAAATTTCAGGGGCTGGCACATGGTATGGTGATTAGCTCACTAGATTCCCACACATCCAACCACAGTACAAGTCCTGGACCTGGCAGTTTGCTTTCCCACTCCCTTTATTTCTCTATCTCCCTCTGTGGTCAGATTCTAAAAAATAGTAGCAAATAAGTAAATAATTCTTTAAAAACAAAACAAAACAAAAACAAAAATCTCAGGTGCCAGATGGTTGTTAAGGTGCTGGACACTCCCACATGGCTGACCATGGTTTGAGTCCTGGACCTGGTGGCTTGTTTTCTCACTTCCCCTCTTTCTCTCTCTGTGTGTCTCTCTCTGTCAAATTAAAAATAAATGAATAAAATTTAATAAATAATTATTTTCTAAAAACAAATAAATAAATATTGGGGCCAGCAGTTGACGTAATGGTTATGTTGCTGGACTCCCATGTAGTCAACCATGATACTAGTCCCGGCCCCAATGGCTTAAACTCATGCCCACGCATGTGTATGCATGCCCAAGATTCTCTTTTTTTTTTTGCTGCGTGCGCTCGCCAGACAGACAGAGAGAGAGAGAGAGACAGAAAGCAAGAAATCACCCCAGGAGGGATGGTCATGCCGCAATCCCTTCCCCTCCATTCTCCTCTCGGGATCTTGGGCACGCACGCACACGTGCCCGGCGTGAGTTTTAAGCCACTGGGTCCGGGACGCAAACCGCGGTCGACTACGTGGGAGTCCAGCGACATAGCCATTACCCTAACTGCTGGTTCCCGTGCGTGCCCAAGATTCTGAGAGAAGAATGGAGAAGAAGGGACTGCGGCATGGCCATCCCGCCTGGGAGGCGATTTCTCGCTTTTTGTCTCTCTGTCTGTCTTTCTGGCGAGCACACGCGCCCTATAGCAAAAACCCTCTCAAAAATAAAAAAAAAAGATAATAAATAAATAAAAAATAAAAAAATAGAAAGTTACTCATAAGTGACTGAAATATATGGGTAGTTAAAAGAACAGAAGAAAGGACTTTAAACTTACATCAACACGGAAGTCTTCTAACCTCTTGAAACTACAGAGGTATTCCTGAAGTTTTGGGTCAACAGAATGTGTCTTAGATTGCGAATATTTCAGATAAGCCCAAAATTTTTCTAGTCCATATAGCTGACCTGATGAAAAAGAAATATATACACTATAAATTATGTATTATTTTTAAAAAGATTCATATTAACATAGTATTTATGAGAAAAAAACATTTATCTTCCAATATGTTTTATCTGATCTTGAGAATAAGACATGCAGTGAATTAACAATGGCTGCTAATAGTTACTGAGTATTTACTGTGTAACAGGAGTTAGTTGAGTGCTTTATTACATATATAAAATTAATTTGAATCATTATAATCCTATAAAATAGTGCTTTTGTGTATATTACAGATGGGAAAACTGAGGTTTAGTAAGGTTAAGTAACCTGCCCGTGGCTATACGTGAAGTTGGAAATGGGGTTCTGATCTAGGGATCTGGCCCAGAGACTGTACTCTAAACACCATGCTATTCTGCACTTCTAAGCATATCTGCAATGTTGCGTAGAACATGTCATGTAAAGGAATATCAGTGGCTAGCCATGTTCCACCAACAGGATAATGACCAAATACACCTTGATAAAGGAAATTCGAACTTGAAAGAGGTTATTTTCCAACGTCTCGCAGGAGGGTCTTTTTATTATATGGTGGGTGCCCCATCCTTCATCAAGAACTGTAACAGTGACCTAAAGGCCTTAAATGGTTTGCCCTGAAGAAAAAAGATATGAATTCCCTCCCTACTTCTTGACAGACTCAGGCTTACAATTTCCAAAAAGAATACGACTTTTGCTTTCTTTTACCAGATTCGTAGTCTTTTTTGGTTTCTTCTTGGAAATCCATAAAAATTTCTTGTCTGAATTTTTTTTCCAGTCCATAACTATAAAACCTGAACAGACATTCTAACCCATACCTGTGGAAATAAAAGATTTGTAAGAAAAATTTTGCTTTAATGATGGATTTTCATAGTAGCAGTGATATAAGCAAACATGGCACAAAACAATCCTAAACAAAAAAATAAAATTTTAGTATACCAATTTTTAAATGAGGTTGTAATTAGTAATTCATAGCTGACTTTGCTTCTAAAAAGATAAATTAATAAACCAAATAATGTTTTTTAAAAGTGTTTTTGCTTATTTCTTCCATGAGACAGGGTGAGACAAAAGCAGAAATAGGAACAGAGGGAGAGAGGGAACGAGAGAGAAAGACAGACAGACAGATAAGCACAGAGAAACACCCCAAGTAGGGTTTCATATCACAGTCCATCCCTAATCTCAGGCCTGGAATATGGGCATGCATGCCTGATGTGCTCAGGGAGGCCCCGGGATGCAAACTCAGGACCGTTCCTATGTGGATCCAGTTGCTTTACTACTGTGCCATTACCTGCTTTGTTTTCAGTTTACCCACTTACTTCTTCCATGCATGTCAAAGACAGACAGAAAGAGATAGAGAGGAAGACAGCATCCCTGTCAGGGTCCCAACGCCAGGATCCACCCTCAGCCTCAGGCAGCCCAGGATCATGGGCCAGTGTGTGCCCAGCATACTCAGAGCAGTCTCTGAACTTGAACCAGGAATCCTCCTCTGTGCCTCCCCTGCAGAGTGTGGCATTTAACAGCTGTGCCACCGTCTGGGCCATAGTATTCATTTTTGTTAGCTTTTAAACCCCTCCAACTGTAAAAATATTAGAAAATATTTGACCTGTAATTTTCTTTTGCATCTTCCCAAGCAAGTTGTCTAAATTCCTCATACATTTTTTTATTGAAGTGATCTCTGAGGAAAAAGGACCAAAAACGAAAGAGGGTATTCATTTCTTGAGACTGACCAATTCCTAGGCGTTTTCTCTCTGGAAAAAGTTAAAATAATAAATACATTATATGTACCTTTTAAAGCCAAGATAACAGACATTGTATGTCTTAGAATGGACAAAATTAAAATATAATAATCCTCAAAGTGTATTTGGGCTTCTTCTAAGTAGAATACAAATATTAATGCATTTTCTGACTCACTACTCAAATTGTAAACAGTCATCAACAGTAACAAGAAAAATAAGCTAAACTTTAATTCCTAATGTGGATAAGTTATAAAATACATTTATAAAAAATATATTTACTTAAGGCATTTATGATTATAACAAAATGAAAGAATATCTTAACCTGATATTAAATAACAAAAAATTTAATTTTTTAGAGACATCTATCTATCTATCTATCTCTATATATACACATACATACAAGCTGACAGATGGTGTGGTGGTTAAAGGTGCTGACTCCCACATGGGGTGACCGTGGTTCAAGTCCTGGACTTGGTGGCTCATTGTCTCACTTTCCCTTTCTCTCTGGTCAAATTAGAAAATAATAACAAATGGAATTAAATAAATAAATAAATAAATAAATAAATCTTTAAAATTATATATATATACACACACACACATAAAAACTTTTTTTAGAGAGATTTTTGACATAGGGCCTGTGTGCTCACCAAAGGGACAAGGGAGACAGAAAGCAAGAAATCCCCCCTCGGGTGGATGGCTACACCACGATCCATTCTTCTCCATTCTCTTCTTGGGATTTGGGGCATGCACACACATGTGACCAGTATGAGTTTTTAAGCCGCTGGTTCTGGGATTTGAACCACAGTTGACCATGTGGGAGCCCAGCAACATAACTATTACACCATCTGTTGGTCCCTAGAATTATATTTTAATTTGAACTACAGCTAGGTAAAGGTCAAGGCTCTTACCACTTAAGCACCTTCGACGATACTTGTAATAGACTTGTTGGGTAAAACCATTTTCCTTCAAAAGTTCGTGAGAAGGATGCTGGAACTTAGGAAGTGAATGAGGAGTACATCCGTAATTTCCTACTAGTGGTGCACCTTCTGAAGGCGAGGCATTTGAACTGCTGTTTAAAGAGGGGGGGAAAAAGTCTTCAAACTGAAATATTAAGAATCTAGTGTTTAAAACAATTTGCATTACTTTTCCTATTATGGAGAATCTGAGCAGTGAGAACAGTAATTCCTAAAACTCTCCTAAACTACTGGGACATGGAAAAGTTATCATGTATCTTTCTGTTTTTCTACGTAAAAATGCACCATAACTTTTCCAATGACACAATAATAATATACAAATTACATGTGAAACACTATGTATGTTCAACATACAAGTAAATTCAGAAGTTGATAAAGAGATGGTCATAAATCTTCAAACTAAGACAATAAATAAAGCAGATAACTGAATAGATATTCCTCTTCTAGATCCATTAATCATTTCTAGAGAGTTTTTTTTTTTTTTTTTAATGTTGAAGAGGTTTTTGCCTTAGGGTGCATGTGCTCATGGGGGGTAGGGAGAGACAAAGACAGTGAGAAGGAGAAGGAGAAATCGCTCCAGGGTTGGGGGATGGCAATGCCACAATCCCTTCTCCATTTTCCTACCAGGATCCTGGGCATGCACGCGCATGTACCCTGCGATTCTGAAGCCACCAGGTCCAGGACTTGAACCACGGCAGTCATGTGGAAGATCAGTGACATAACCACTATGTTACCTGTTGATCCCTAGAGTATTTTTTTTTTAATTAGTATTATGCTACTGGTGGAATTTCGACTTAATTAGGTTAATGATGTAAACCAAATATATGAAAATGAGATGAAATCTGACATAAATACAAAGGCAATAACCCCATTATCTCAAAAGTAAACCTGTAATTCTCTAAATCAATTCCACTTCTGAAATATCTGCTAAATCTGTCTTTTCTTCCATACTCCACTATTCACATTTATATCTCCTGCTTCTTACACTTAGATTAGCTGGTTTCCTTGGTCTTTTTCAGTCTGTCTCCTTCAACCTGCCACCAAAATGATCTTCCTATGATACGGATCTAAATTAGTGTTTGCCAAAGGGCGATCTACGGCCCTTGAATGGTTCACAAGAACCTTCCAGGAAGTCTGCAAAGTCAAGGCTATTTTCATAATTATACTAGGGCAGCATTTGTCCTTTCCGCTGTGCTGACATTCGCACTCATGGTACACAAGCAATGGCGTGTAAAGCTGCTGATGGGAACCGAGGCAGAGGTATTCAACTTTACTTACTGGTGACTGTATTCACCGCCGCTATGCCATGGCAACTTAAAAAATCAAAACGCCAGTTTCAACCCAAGATGTCCCTGATGAAGTAGAAGTAATTTTTTGAAATCTCAACTCTTGAGTACTTGCATTTTTGTGTATGACAAAAAAGAAGAAGTGGAATCTTCAGTTCTGTTAGAGATAGGAATGTTCTGGAGATTTGTTCACAACGATGTGAACATACTGACTACTTTTAAAACTGAACAGGATACTTTAAAATGGTTAAGGTAGTGGGGTTGGCAGGTTCTGTGGAGGTTAAGGCGCTGGATTCTCATGTGCCCAACTATGGTTTGAGTTCAGAACCTGATGGCTTGCTTTCTCACTTTCCCTCTCTCTTTCTCTCTCTGTCTCCCTCTGGTCAAATTAAAAATAATAATGACAATTTAAAAAATGAAATAATTTTTAAGTGGTTAAGTTAGTAAATTTTGTGTTTTTAGCACAATTTTTTTAAAAACAGTATGGAAGCACAAAGCACTTTTGCAGCATATTAAAGTACAATGGTGGGGCCAGCAGGTGGCACGGCGCTTAAGGTACTGGACTCCCACATGGCCAATCATGGTTCAAGTCCCAGACTTGGTGGTTTGCTCTCCCTCTTTTTCTCTGTTTGTCTCTAAGGAGTGCAAGTGCCTATAACAAATTTTAAAGTAATAATAAATAAGATGAAAAAAAAAAGTACAATGGGTAGGCGAGCTCTGTGGCCTGGCAGTTAAGGGAGCTGGACATGGCCAACAAGGCAATTCAAGACCTAGACCCGGAAGCGTGAGAAATTCTACTGTAGGAACCAGCAGCTGGCCTAATAGTTAAGTCGCTGGATGCCCACATAGTTGGCCGTGTTTGAGTCCTGGGCATGTATAGTAGGTATGGAATACCTATCTCATATGCTAACTCCGTTTTAACATTTTGAGAAAACATCAAACCATTTTCCACAGTAACCAAGGCTATTTATATTCCCACCAGTCATTCATGGGGGTTCCACTTTATTTGCATCCTCACGAACATTTATAACCAGATTTGTTTTTTTCAGCCATACACATACATGTAGGATCTTCAAAAAGTTCATGGCAAATGCATATTTTGAGAAAATTATTCATGGATTTTAATTCAGCAATCATATTCCTTGGTATTTACCAAAAGGAATCAAAAACATATCCACAGAAACCTGTAACATGGATTTTTTTTTTTTAAGGATTCGAGACAAGTTTATAGAACATAACCACTGGGAATCACCAGAAAAGACTGTCATCTTAGTCTTTGATTGTACTGCTCTGTAACACAGATGTTTACAGCAGTTTTACCTATAATATCCAGAACTTGGAAGCAACCAAGATATCCTTCAGTAGGTAAATAAACTGTGGCATATCAATGGACAGTTACTCAGTGCTGAAGGAAATGAGTTATCTGGCCAGCTCTATGGTCTGGGTGTTAGGACAGCTAGATCCAGCATGGGCTATATTGTAGTTCAAGTCCTGGATCCAGGGGCTTAAGAATTATGCCAGGCACATACAGGGGGTGCATGCCCAAAATCCTAAATGGGAGGGAGAAACGGAGAAGTGATTGCAGCATCACCATTCTCCACGGAGGCTGCTTCTCTTTTCCCTCTCTCTCTTGTGAGTGTAAGTACCTTCAAGGAAAAAAACATTTTTTCTTTGAAAAAGAAATGAGTTATCAAGCTACCAAAAGACACGAAGGAAATGCATACTACTCCATGGAAGAAGCCAATTTGAAAAGGCTACATACTGTATGACTCCAACTATCTAACGTTCTCGAAAGGACAAAACAATGGAGACAGTAGGAGGATCAGTGATGGCCAGGGGTTTGGAGGTGGAAGGGTTGAACAGGTGGGGCACAGGATTTCTAAAGCAGTTCAACTATTATGTATGAGATTCCAATGGTGGATACATGTCATCATAAATTTATTCAAGCCCATGGAATATGTGAGTCCCAGAGTACGCCCTCATGAAGAGGATGGACTTTGGCTGATAACGCCATGTTGATGTAAGTTCATCAGCTGTAACGAACGTACAACTTTGAATCGGAATGCTGATGGAGGAGGCCAAGGTATGAGAGGCACAGGGAGGGTGATATGCAAATTCCCTGTATTTTCCAGTCAGTTTTGTTGTGAACCTAACTTCTCTAAAAACTAAAATCTGTCCCCCCAAATTCTTTACTACTATAAATTCCTCCTTGAATTAAGGTAGAGACTGTATCTTTACTGTTACCTGAAAGGTAGGAACTAAACCTATTTTGTTCTGTGCTGTCTAGCCACTGCCTAGAAAAGTATCCAGCATATTGTAAGTCCTGGCTTTTCTAACACATTTTACTTGTGAGAGATGGTGGGGTAGTGGCTGAGTATAAATAAGTCACTATATATCTGCTATTATTTTAAAGAATTATCTTATTCAACTATCAATTTATTTATGTTAATTTGACCAGAAAGGGACAGAGAGAAAGAGAAAATGAGAAAGCAAGCCACCAGGTCCAAGACTCGAACTGTGGTGTGCCATTTGGGAGTCTAGCGCCCTTAACCACCACACCACCTGTCAGCCCTATATTTGTTATTAACGAAAGATACAAAATGAAAAAGAGATGAAACTCAAGAAACACTTATTTAAAGAACTATTTCTTTATTTAATTCCATTTGCTATTATTTTTTAATCTGAGCAGAGACGGGCAGAGAGAGAGAAAGAGAAAACGAGAAAGCAAGCCTCCAGGTCTGGGACTCAAACTGTGGTTGGCCAAGTGGGAACCCAACACCTTTAATCACACCACCTGCCGGCCCCTCAAGAAATATATTTTTACCTAAACGTTACAACTAAATGTTCTAACTAAACATTATTGATAAAATATTTTTCACCATTATCTGTTGATCTGTAACTATACTGTCCAATAAAAAAATACTTTGGGAAACAAACTCAAAATCACTTAGTTCTCAAAATAGCTATTAATATACCACACGTGGGCCAGACCATGGCAAGGTACTTAAGATAGATGGATCCCACACATTGCGTGGTTAAAGTCTGGACTTAGCGGCTTGAGAAACATGCCAGGTATACGTGAGTGTGTGCTCAAAATCCCAAAAGGAGCGAGAAATGGAAAAGATGGGATGCCCCATGAGGGATACTTTCTTGCTTTCCTTTTCCCTGTCTGCCTGTCTCTCTCTCTCCAGCAAGCACAGGTGCCCTCCAGCAAGTTAGAAAAAGATAAGAAGAAAAGGATACAAATATGTCTATATCTATATGTAACACACACACATATATGTATGTGTATACATATGTACACACACATGCCCACCCCCAAGTGTGCAGAAGAGTATATATATTTTATCTGTTAGGGATAACATATCTAATGAGAACAAGATAAAGGTACCAAATGGGTTATCCTGAAAAAGGCAAATGTTAAGATTTTGAGATCATAATAAACTCCCTAGCACTTCTTTTCATTCCCTTGAGTAGCCAGTTAAAATTGTTCCCCATGGGGTCCACAGGTGGCATGGTGGTTGAGGGTGCTGGATTCCCACATGGCTGACTGTGACTCGAGTCCTGCACCTGGTGGCTTGCTTTCTCACCCTCTCTCTCTCTGTCCCTCTCTGGTAAAAATTAAAATAAATAAACAAATAAATAAATAGGTAAGTAAGTAAGTAGGTAGGTAAAGTTTAAATAAAATTAAATAAAGTAATTCTTTTTTTTTTTTTTTTTGGAGGGGTTTTTTGCTATAGAGCATGGGCGCTCGCCAAAAAGACAGAGAGAGACAGAGAGACAGAAAGCGAGAAATTCCCCCCCTCCTCCCAGGAAAGTGACCACGTGACAATCCCTTCTCCTCCATTCTCCTCTTGGGATCTTGGGCACGCATGTACATGTGCCCGGCGTGAGTTTAAGCTACCGGGTCCAGGATTTGAACCACAGTTGATTACATGGGAATTGAGTGACACAGCCATTACATCAACTGCTAGTCCAAATAAAATAAATCTTAAAAAAATTTTTTCCTCAAAATTACATTTTCAAATGGAAAAAACTATAATTACTCTGAAAATATCCAGGACAAACAGGAGACGGATTTTTAAAAAACACAAAGCAATGAAGAGTAAACCATCTCTGCACTCCCCCACCTCAGGGGGAAACACATCACACTGCTTTGCACATAAGTGGAACTCTAAGATTAGCTTGATCATCTCTTTTAAGGCAAATAACTGTCTTTTTTTAAACTAAAGTTAAAAGAAAAAATACTTTTCACTAATAATCAGCTCATCTAAATTGCTTTCTAAAAAATGTAGAAAAAATCCATAAGAATGTGTGTTGTTGAGGCCAGCAGATGGTCTAGTGGTTACGTTGCTGAACTCCCACATGGCCAACCATGGTTTGAGTCCTGGACCCAGTGGCTTGAAACTCATACCTGGTGCATGTGCATGTGTGCTCAATATCTCAAGAGGAGAATGAAAAAGAAAGGACTGTAGTGTGGTCTTCCCCCTAGTGGTGATTTCTCACTTTCTCTCTTACTATCTCTGTCTCTCCCCAGCAAACTCACACGCCCTCAGGCAAAAACAACTTCTTTTTTTTTTTTTTTTTTTTGAGGGTTTTTGGACACAGGGAGGGAATGCTCCACAA